TTAAGACTAATGCAAAAGTATTAACTGAGTTATTTAACTTTAATACATAAGTATTAGCGTTTTCTTAACACTAATGCTAAGACGACACCCCTAAATACAACCAATCAAGATTGCGCTTATTTTTACTATTCTAATTCCAGTCAAAGCACAAAAAGATAGTTTTTATACATTTTTAAATTTGACTTTTAGTAAATATAGAGTCTAATATCATAAGAACAAGACAGATAGCAGGGATGCTGGTCCTGATGATCGAACACATATTGATTTTTGAATTGTATTTTTCTGTTTCTTTGTTCAGTTCTTTCTTTGCTCTGAATGATACCTAGTCGTGTATATAAAACTGAAAAGAAGTCTTGATATGTATTATGATCTCCAGTAAATTCTTTTACGAATATCGTGTCAATGTCATTCCATTCTTCCGATGTTTTTCTGTAAAAATATCTTTAGAAGTACAGTCCGAACACTCGACCTTATTCATTACGATCTTCGGCCTCTACATCCCATATAGCATCAACATTCTACTCCTAACATCCAATCAAACGATTCCGATCTCCCTGGTTTTCTATTACGATTTCCTATGCAGAAATGTTTACGAACTCCGGTCATAAGTTTTTAAGGACAAAAATTCATTTCCGAACACCCGGACATATGTCCGGAGTTCGGAATGGCTTGAGACGAAACGTACGTCACCCTAGATGCCCACGCTTGGAGGTGCAGATGGAAGTCTGACAGCAGTTGCCGAAACAGATGTACGTCGTGAGGATTGCCTATAGAATTGCACGAGTTTGAAAAAGTGCTGGAAGGTGAGTATGAATGTGAAGAGATGTGAGAATAGTAATGTGAATATGGATAGGTTTCGGGAGAATGATGTGGATAAGTCTGTACATAGGCATGTAGTTAATTAAGACTTTCGATACAGCTGTGACTGTTAAGACGGATATGAAGATGAGAATGCGCGTGTATGTGGTTGGATGGAATATGGATGGGGATCTAAGAGGTATGAGAACAGGGATACGGGTGTGGGGAGAGGTTGAAGATAAGAATGAGTGGAGGGATGTGCTAGGATAATGATCATGGTCGTGAAGGATTGTGAGTATAAGGATGATGATTGTGATGAGTGTGTGAATACAGGTGTGGTTGATGATAGTTTTCAGGATAGCTGCGAGAATTCAGAGAGTAATATGAATAAGTATTCAATTGTTGAGAGGTAGCAGAATAAGAATCTACATAGGGAGGGATTTGCTGATGGAAATGAGGACAGTCAGGCACGTGAGGATATGGCTAAGGGTTGTTAGGAATTCGAATAAAACTCTGATTTTTCAACTAGACAATTAGATTAAAGAAATAAGGAACAGTTCATAAGAAAGTGCCGGTTCGGGACTGCCCATCGCGAATTCTCGTGTTATAAATCTAACTATTTTTAGAAGTAAGAGCAGCCTGGAATTTGATAGAGTGTAAATCAAAGAAGATGATCTTATGGGAGGATGGGATTACACGTAGCAGCGGCTAACCATTGCACTGGAAAATTCCCTGAAGAAAAGCTTCAGGCTATTAGGATTCATCGAATAAATGTCAACAGGGTAGAACTAATGAGTTTGAATAGGGGCTGGTAGTGGCAAAGAACTGAGAAATAATTTGAAATAAAGTGTGAGAATAGCTTTTCTGCACGTGCACAATATTTGAATAATACATTTAACAGAAAACATCACTCAAAGAACTTATTCCCTCGACTGAAGGGAGGGTCATAAAATATGGAACCGATATAGATGATTACATGTGATACTATTAGTAACTGTCTCGATAAAGTGGAGTAGCGTATAAGTACTTCTAACCCTTCAGTCGAGGGTTGAGCGAGTCGTAGCAACGAGCGTTACTTGTTTTGTAATTCGGCTATTGCTTTCAAACATGTTGGCAGAAGAATATTATCACCTCTTGATGAAATCAATAAGGCTGTGGGTGGGTGTGGGTGTCAGGGATGGTGTAAGTGTCGGACTTCTACTCGCTTACATCCACACCCACACTCAACTCACACCCTTTTCTCTTTATTATTGAAGATGGATTTCGTATTAAGCAACTGTGTATATAAAAAGTAATGTTTTAGTCCCTCGTTGTATTGCCACATGTGACATTTATCTTGTATTGTAAGAATAAAATTGCAATATTGACATTTTTAATCATGTCTTTACTCCTCTGTTTCGTCTATTTCTTATCTGATGTTGCAAAGTTTTCGCTTATTTTTTTCTCTCTTTGCTTTTATCCTGAAAGTTGAAACGAAATGGAGAGAAAGAAAACCCAAACGAGGTCTTGAATATATATTCAAGACGAATGAATATTCTCCTGAGCGATCAATTATACATACTTAAAATTTTCAAACAAAGTTCAGATAGAAATATGTGATATATTTATGAGTACTTTTAGAAATCTACTTAGTCTTTAGACTTTTTGCAGTACACTTCTTTCAGTTATGTATATAAGAAAAAAGTTGCATAACAACGACGAAAGTTGATGACACATTGTCAATAAACACATTGAGATAAAGAAAGGCAAATTTAAAGAGAAATTCACTTTAACGACACATACTATTCGAAAACAAGCAACATATATGGCTAATCAAATTCCTTCGTCTCTCTTGACACTACCCATTGAAATTGTCTATCGCATTTTGGACAACCTTAATGATTTCACACTTATTTGTTCAGTTCGTAATGTATGTACACGGCTAAATATGATCACTGATACATATCATCGATATCAGGTAAATTTCACCTTTATCATTCAGTCAGATTTTTATCGTGTTCAAAATATCAGTCAGTTCAACCGATGATTAAATTTCATTTATTTTAGTTGTTGATTTTAGAATAATAAAAACTTCAGGTTAATGTTTTGACATTGATGAATATTACCTAAAAGATAATAATTATTAAGTTATTGAAGCCATTTCCAAGGATTTTATTGTTTCTGATTTTTTTCTGCAATATTTTACTAAACAGAAAATAAAGTTAATAAAATTATAAAATGCATCGAACGTTTTTGTATCACAGTTTTGCTTTCCTTCATCAGTTATAGAAAGGACTACTTCAGGTGAATTGAATTAAAAGTCATAGCAGAGGCTTAGTTGAATTTCATGACATATACCCTTCTGAAATTTCTCTGGCTTAAAAATTCATTGAAAGGACGAAGCCATCAAAGCAAATGAAACAAAGTTCTAAGGAGTTCTAGACCCTAGAAGATTGTAACAGCTGCCAGAAATCGAGAAACTCTAAAAAATGCTCTGAATTCATCATAGTTATACAATCATTCAAAGAATGCCAGTAGAGCTTTATAGTCAAAGGGAATGAAAAAGAAGTGTTTTGGCGTACATTTTTACTCTGACACCTATGATAGTCTTCAGGTCAAATGAATGAAATCTTATTTTTCAGAAATCACTGTCTTCTGAAAAGAGGCTTGCTTATGAGAAGATGTATGATTTATTTGATTGATGAAACGATCGGTTGATGCTAAGAACTTCTTGAGTTCATAATTCTTCTCATATAACTAGCAATTTCCAACCTAAAGCGTATACAGATCTGAAGCAATAATGAATAGAATGTTTTGTATGAGATTTCAGATAATTTAATCTATCTCGCTACTATCCGTGTACATAGTTTTTTTATCGAAAAGCGTCTATTTTTAATTTGGTGTTCACATGCGTGATTGCATTTCTTTCTTCGAAAACGTCCATTCAGTTTCAGTTAATCACTAACCTCTCTTGAAAAATTAATAATCTCTGCTTCATTGAAGAGAATGACTTATCTAGAAAGGCAGAGTAGAATAAAATTTGAAAGTCTTCGTATCAGAGACTGAAACTAATTAGAGAACTTTCAATCGAATTGGATTCGATTCATCTTACTATAGGGAAAAAACATAGTAGTGTAATCATACATGTTACTTATTATTGACAGTGCTGTAAAAAATCATAGAATAACCTACCGACTTTCAGTTCTTTTGAATTTTTTGTGCTGATTAATAGTACTTTTTCGTTTCATATTCATTACCAATACATAGATTCATCGTTATTCTTTCAGTTTTTATTGCAAGAGATACAGAAATTTTTCTCTTATCCTGTTCTACTCATATTTTCTATATTTCGTCACTTCATAACATGTTCAACGGTCATTTCGTTTTTTTCTTAATAAAACTATGACAGAAACTAGATTGTGTGGAATAAAATGACTTATAAAGCCTCTGTATGCGTAGAC